AAAAATAAATAATGTTCAAAAGGTTAAAATTATTAAAAACATCAAAGTTATCACTTATCAAATTATAAAGAAGAACTAAAACATAGTCGCTCAATAACTCATAGGTTTTATGGGTTGAGTGTGGGTCTATCAATAATCAAATTATTTTGAATATAATTTTTTATTTTTAAAAACCGTATTCACTCAATAATTCAATCTAATCCATTTTTTTACATTGATTTAGATGAATTTTACTGGATTTATTGAGTTTATCCAATTCGTATATATCTCTAATACAAATATCAAAATAATATATATATATATATATATATATATATATATATATATATATATATATATATATATATATATATATATATATATATATATATATATATATATATATATATATATATATATATATATATATATATATATATATATATATATATAATTTGAGAAAAAAATTATATTCAAAATGATTAGTGAAATGCATGTGTCTTTTTTTAAAGAAAAAAAACTAACTCGTATTCTAAAGATATAAATTAATAAACTATTTATAAAAATATTTTTTTAAAATATATATATTTATATTTTAAAATTTTATATATATCTTTATTATAATTAATTACATTTAAAATTTTCCAATTATAATTAAGATAATCTACCCAAAATTTTACAAACATAACTTAGACCTCACCTTTTTTTATTATGACTAATAGTGATTGCCTTTTTCAATTTTTAGAAGGTATAAACGTAGAATAAACTTTCTTTTCACACTAAAGTTGAGATTCACATTAAAATGATTCATTCATATATTTATATACTCATATTTATAAATTTACATATTTTTTTTACATGTATATTAAACTTCATATAAATGATTTATATTTTAACAAATAGAATGTGTATTATTGTTCAACAACTTTTTTTTTTAAAATTGAACAATTAAAATAAGAACCCTTATGTAAAAAAATGAGTGCGATTTTTATGTTTTAAACAAATTTTCTACAATTAATATTGTTATTTTTTTTTTTTAACACGAGCGCGATTGTTTGAAATTTGTTAACCACAACATAAATATTCACAAGTTTTATCAGTATAAGGATGATTGGTTTCAAAGTGTCATCAGATACTCCGGTTTTGTTAATATGTGTTCTTTCAAGTACACCACCACCAACCATTGCATGTAAGGGGCTTTTTCTAAGAGTTGGTGTAAGGAAACATCATCTTTCCACTTTCCTATTGACGAGATGTCGATTAAATTAGATGATGTAACTTGCCTTCTACATCTTCTCATCAGAGGGAAGTTACTTGATCATTCCAGGATCGAACACGATGAGACCCAAGAGATGATGGTAATTTATTTGGGGGTTGATCCAATGGAGGCCCTGATGTAGTGTGAGAACACCAGGGGTGCTCATGCCAAATTTTCATACTTGAATGAGCTTTATGAATAGAACTTGGAGTTGGTTGATGATGTTGTCGACGATGAACTACATGTTATTTACCATCGAGAGTGTGCTTTGAGGTGTTTCCTCATATTCTTGGTTGACATGTCCATGTTTGAGGACAAAAGTGCAACCTACATTGATATGGCATACCTTAAGTACTTCATCGACTTTTCAACCATCCACGAGTGGAAAAGGGGCCACTTATTTGGTATACTTGTACTCCAAGATGAGTGAAGGCTCTCTTGGGATGACAAAGAAAATGACAGACTCCAACACCCCATTGACAGTAATTTCCATAGTCATTATTAATTTTAAAAGCATTTTTTACACTTGTTACTAATGTTTTTTCTTATTCATTTTTCAGGGATGAATTCTATCCCACTTTCACCGCATACACGGGTTTGATTCTGCGCAAGAGTATATAGAAGATTATCTACATGCTTGCTTGTATAGAAGGAATGATGATGTGCGACTGTTTCATATGTATATTAATATGACTCAACATGATGACACTGACTAGACATCATACGCCATTCACTGGGACACCATTTCCTTCGACCCCATTTCATATTACTCCAGATGGATGGCATGTGGGAGTAATATGATATGCAACCATATGCCTGAGCGATGCATATGTCAGTTTGGATTTGTGCATATCATTTCAAGCCCCCCTTTGAGGCTTCTCCTAACAGTATCATCAACAAACTTCTTGATGACATATTGGCGGAATATGAGAGTCATCTGGTATCAGAGTAGTATCAGAGTATCTCAGCCACAAGTTAGTGGCATTATGCTGACGGTTACATGATTTTGTTCTATTTTGTGTCACACTCTATCATGACAGAGGCGCTACTTGACGTCCACCTAAGCCTGTTCATGAAGAGATCCTAGAGAATGATCAAGAAAGAGATGACCATATCGTTGATGTGTTGTCGGTGTGTTAGAATATTACGCGATTACGTATGCGGGCATAAAGTCTGGATTTTTTAGAGAGGTGATGATGATGTGGTTGCCCTAGCATGTTCCATTTTTACTAAGGCACAAAATGCCTTGGATTATCGGCGACAGAGGAGGAGCCAGAGGGTTAGAATTAAAAATATGCAGTAGGTTATATTTTTTTGTATTTTCAGATGCTTTAGTATTATTTTCTATATTTTGAGAACTATATTTATAATATTTTGGGATATTTTTTTAATTAATACATTACTTTATTCTATGACATTCATGTTTATTAATGTTTGAATTAAATTATGGATTATGACACTATTAGTCAGATTAAAATGACTTCAGATTAAAAAAAAAATACAAACTTAGACAACGTTTATGCCCAAAATGTTTGTAGGAAAGTTTTCGAAGATGTATATTTGAAATAAGAGTTTTCGAAAATGCATCCCCGAATTCACCCCCAAAATATTCACAGATGCATCTCCGGACTAATTTTTGGCAAAAATAGACAGAGAAAGTGCGTTTGAAAATATATTTCTAAAAATTTATGAGAGCAATTTTGAGTTTTCGGAGGTGTGAGTCACACCATAAGAATGAAAAAATATATTGTCCAATACAAATATAATATGGATTATCTGCCGAGTAAACTAAGGAGATTTGAGTTATTCACTTTGATAGAAAAATGATGACGTGGCATTGGCAGTATCATTGATGTCAACCTAAAAAGCTACTCCTTTCATTTCATAAAAAGATTATATTTAAGAAATTTTTTGATTTTTAAGAAAATGATTAAATGTGTTGATTTCAATGATAAAATTAATATTATTTATTAAAATATTTTTATTAATTATAGTTAATAGAATAATTAAATAAAGTGAAAATTAATAAATAAAAATATAATAATAATAAATAATAATAAATATTATATTAATATTGTAAAAGAATAATTATTTTGAGACAAAAAATATATATATAAGTGAAACATTTTTTTATGAGACTTAGGGAGTAACATGTATAATAAGGGATCTAAAAACACCGACATGTTTCCATTGTCCCAAGCTACATTGATAGTACGTATTAAAACTAGATACACGTACCTACATATCTCCACATTTAGTTATGATAACAAAGCCAGACTTATCAATCACAACGATCAATGTAGTGGAAAATGGAAATATAACAATAACTTTGAGCCAACATGATCCTATCCACTTTATAAATAGGGGTTAACCCCTTAGGTATGATCAGTCAATAAAGAATTTGTAGAATTTTTTAAGTCACCTCTATATTACATCTATATTAGTGAAAAATATTTATAAATATTGTTTAAAAAAGAAGAAGAATTTAAGATTCAATAATAAATTAGAGAATTAGTTAAGAACTAATATTTATATATTTGTCTTAATTGTTAAACTCAAAGAGATAAATTTTTCATCAATATAATTTTTCATTTCTCTTCTAAAATCAACATCAGTTCGTATTCATAAACATTATATTATTTCTTCTCTTTCTATTTACATTTGGATTGTCTTATATCTTTTAATTTTATTCTTTATTTTTCATTTATACAATTTTAAATGTTTGTTATAATTTATTTTTTAAATTTAAACAAAGAATTAAAATGAAGTAAAATATAAAAAATAACTTTGTTTTTTGAACCGTTTGGTTCACTAAAACCGGTTTCGATTATTTTGATTTTTCGCAATTGAAGCAATTTTATCTCAATTTTTTAAACCTAACCGTTTATTGGTCCAAATCGAACCAGATTAGACAAGGTTCAAGGTTGAATCCATTCAACCGACCGATTCAATCCGATTTTTAAAACATTGATTTTGAGATAAAATAGAGGATAAAACCATAAATTTCTTGTTTTTTCTATTTTATTTGATTTATTTTCCGTTTTCATATTTTCGAAAAGAAAATCTAAATTTTTTTTGTAGACACTTAATTTTATTTTATTTTATTTTTAGTTGTATTTTTAAATTTTTAAAAGTAAAATTCAGAAATGCATATCTGAAATCATTTTTTTCGTAAAAAATAAGGTTTATTCGGAGATACATATCTGAAAATACATTTTTCTTAAATTTTTGTGGAATAAGGGTCCGTTCGGAGATACATATATAAAAATAGAAGGTATTTTTAGAATTTCGCCAAAGGTCTCTAAGAAAACATAAGAGTGACTTAAGAAATTCTCTTTATTATTACACACTTCACTCGCTTAGAGAATAGCGTATGAGAAAACACTGAGATCAAAACTTTATTAGAACTGATCAACAGTCGGATTGGATTGAATTCAGACTCAAAAATTTAATTCGTCTCAAAATACAGATCTAGAATGAAAGTCTAATTTCAATCATTTATATTATCAATTTTATCGATTTGCGGATTCACAATTTGACTTCAGTGACCCATTTAAATTTTTCAAAGTTAAAAATTAAATTTAACATTATATTTTTTATGATCTGAAATAAAAAAATGACAATAAAATTCAAAATATTACTTAAAATAAGAAGGAAAAAAAATTAATACAAACAAAAAAAATAGTAAATAGTTATAGACAAACATAAGCATCCTTAGAAAATGTATTCAATAAACTAACATATATTATAAAGTTAAAAATAAATGATAAGCACATTAAACTACAACTACAAGAAGTTTCTCATTCCTTCCCATATCATTCTTCAATCATCCATTTTCTCCCTGGATCATTCCTTTTCAAACATCCATTTCCCGGTGTTTCTTTCTAGATCATTCTTCAATCATCCATTTTTTCAACCTTCAACAACATCCAACTTCAAACAAACACAACATATAGTTATTAAAATATAGATAATATTTAGCTTCAACCAAACACAACATATAAAAGAATTATTAAAATATAGATCTAAAATAAATGAAAAGAGAGTAAAGAGAGAACAACGGAGAACAAGACAAAGATTATATATTAAGATGAAAATCAAAACAGTTTTATACTTGTTAAGCTTCAAATAGAGAGAGAGAGGTATGTTTTTATTGGGCCTTAAAAAGGTTCAATCTAACCCAATATAAATTAATGCGGTCGAATTCACAGTTTACTTTGGGTTAGATTTGTCTAACTAAACTCAGCCACTACAAATAAATAGAAACCAATTAATTCTATCATGTTTACCTGACATCCATTTTCGGACCAAACACATGCAGGCGGTTACAGTGGATCGGACGGATTAGAGCGGTTTGCTCAAATTTTGTCCACCCCTAAACTTTACACTAGTAGAGCAGAACTAATGATGTGAAGGTTACATCACTACCACAAGGGATCCACCTTGTAAGTTTGTGTAAGAAGATTGACATCTATTGAGTGGTCGTTGTAATTTTTTTGGGACATCCATTGTGTGGTCGTGATAATTTTTTTTTTTTGGATATATGTGCTTGCAAGTATAATGTCTATAACATTTAGTTAATCTATATAGTTTTTGTGATGACAACACTATGAGGTGAAGTCTTTATAAAAAATTATGATCAAGTTGTTATGCTTGGAAGATCAAGATGTCAAGTTTAATCTCTTAATAACAACGATGACACTTCGACAAGTAAACTAATAATGTCTAAGTACTAATTAAAAAGATCATATCCACATGAATTATAATTTAACAAGGTAGTTATTTACGAATTAAAATAGTAACAATTGAGAGGTTTTTGATTTTATGTGGTTCTAAAACAAGAACGAGAAAATTAAGAGAATAAAATTCAAGATGAGAAAGGAGATATAGTATTTTATATTGAATCCTCTTATTTTGATCTATTGATAAATTGTGTCTTTATTGAATTTCAATTAAATTATCATCTCACTGCAAACTAACAAGACCACTGCACTCAATTCCTCAGTGTGCAGCTCATTAATTTATACGATAATTACCAAATTTCTTAGGCCAATTCAAAGTTAAATTTGGTGTTCTAAGTGCGTTAATTCGAAAGTAATAACTACTAATTATTTATCCATAGTAAATTACAAAGTCAAATAAATCGTCATATATTAGATAATTAGACTAACGGTCATAAATCCTTACTTATCTAAATAGATTCGTACGATCGTAAGCGAAAAAAGCATTAAACTCAAGAACAAATTAAATAAGATGATAACAATAAAAAGTACTCAATAATTTTCAAACAGACATATGATCCAATAGAGTAATAATAAGTTTCATCTCAAAAAGACCTAATCTAGAGAAATTTAACTACTCATTGATAAATTAACAAATACATAAGTTGATAAGTCTTCATTGTAACACTTGAGACCGAAGAGGATGAGGAGTGATCGTCGAATTCACATCAGAATGAGAGGGATCCTGAGGATGTGCAGGAAAGAGACTGCATGGTTGAAGGAATACTTATAAGGATTAATTGGTACTACCTATACCAATAAGATGCATCTTCTTTTCGGTAGCATAACTGTAATACAGTGGAATAACTGACTTGGTATGTTTTACGTTTTATCACAATTATTGCGGATAGCAAGAGTCGTCACTGACTTTTCTTTTATCCAATAAAGGAAAGGGTGAAAAGAAGAGGAAAGACCTTTTGAGAATTTTCTTGAGTTCGGGGGGTAGGTTATGAAAAGGAAAGGTGTTAGCACCCTTTTCATCCGTAGTTATCTACGAGCTCTTAGTTGCTTGATCCCTTTGAAATGCTTTGTTTGAAATATGTTTGTGATTGTTTTTTAAAGTATTTTTGAAAAGTGCCTTCGTTTAGGCGAACTTTGTAATGATTCTCGTCTCTACAATAATGCATACAAAGTGTTGATTTTTGAAAATATTTCATTTGAAAGTGTTGATGTGTTTGAAATGATGTTGTTTTGAAAATGGTTGTGAGCAAGCAACTACGAGCATTCTATCTACTCAAAAGATCTTAGTTCTTTTCCCCCTCTTTTAGATATTTATACATTACCATTGATTGATAAGAAGCCCTATCACTGGATGTGAAGGGACGAGCATGGGTCATCGTATAGTCATAGAAAACAACATTATGGGATACCTTAGAAATTTTTCGTAAGGGACTAAGATCGTTTACAAAGGCGACATCGAAGGGTCATTGAGGGACTACGATCTTTTATTCAAGGGTCTTTGCTAAAGTATCCCACGTTCGAGGGGTATGACTATTTTTCTCAAGGAAACAAGTGTAGATTACCCTAGAGGTGCGCGTATGCGAGTGTATTGATTTCATGCATTTTTGTCTTGAATTAGGGTTGTCTACTTGTTGATTTTAAGTCTTGCCATACAAACCCTAATTACTAACAATTATATTGAAAGTGGTAAATTGCGAAAATTTAAAATCCCACGCTATTACATCATTTAGGGGACGGGGATACAAATTTACAAATGGTGAATGAAAACAAATAAATCATAATTACTATTACAACCATATTGAATAATGAAGAAAATATATAGAAAATATAGAAACAATGTAAAAGAAAGGAAAATTATATTTTTTAACCATTATGTGTTGACACGTGCATCTTTGCATCGACACATAACCTTTCTTGTTCCTGTAAAACCAAAACCAGCTTAGTATGAGTCGATACATAAGGGTATGTGTCGACTCATTTCTTGTTTGTGTCGACACATTCGTGTTTTCTGTCGACTCATACACCTTTTGTCTTTCTGTATTTTGTTTGGAAAAATAGTATGCATCGGCGTTTAAGGTCTTGTGTCGACTCATATCCTGTTCTGCAACTGATATGAGTCGACTTATGTAAGTATGTATCGACTCATGCTGCAGTTTTTTGCCTTAAACATTGTTCTATTATGTGTACATGTCAGTTCTCAACATAATATTGACAAAAATGAAAAGCAAATAAATGATTAGCTTCAAAAGGCAATGATTACTATATTTTACCCTAAAAAATGAATCACTAGTAATGTTTGAAATAAAAGGTTCAAAGTCAAGAAGACTTACCTTGAAGCTGAAATTTGTGTTTTGAGTTTGAACTGTTGTGTTGGCTGTTTTTGAGCTTAGGAAATGGTAATAGTGATGTTACAGAAGTTGTTCTTGTGTTTGAACAACTCCTATATGATGTATGCGGAGTGTTTGTATGATTTTCTTGGACATAACTTGCAAGGTGTGAGAGGTTCAAAGTTCTTGACTTCAAAGCTCAAGAGTGGCGGTTTTATGGACAGTTATGGCTTTTTGAAAGTATGAGATTTTGAGGGTTTGTCTACACAACAAAACTTCTGGCCCTATATCTTGCAAATGCCCTCTCTATTCATAGAGAAGGTTTGAGACTTGAAACAACTCAGATTTTGAAATCACATATTATGGCTATCTTGCTTGTTTTTTGAAGCAAGCATGAAGAACATGTTTCCAATGTTTGTACTCAGCTATCAAATGTGGTTGATCACTTTAAACATGTTTGTTCTGACTTGTAGAAGTTGAGTGTGATCAGAACAACAAGTTAGAGTCTCAATAAATTGACTTTGTGATTAAAGTGAACTTTTCAAGAATGGATATGTCACTTTCTTCCAAAAATGGAATGATCAATTGGACAAAGGCTCAAACACTTGGGTTATAGTTTAATCAGTTATGTAAGCATTCAATTAAGGAGTGATATACAAGTTTGAGGCCTGCAAAGTGAAGATTATGCAGCATGGCTATGGATTTGGTTCTTGTTCATCACAAAATCTGCCTTGTAATTCAAGAATGACACCCTAATTTCATGGCAAAATGGAAAGCAAAGTCTGCCTTGTAATTCAAGTTTGAGGTCTTCTAAGTCTTGATAAGCAAATTAAGTTTTATATATCATAAATATATATAACTTTCATGTTGAAAGTTTTCTTTGAATCATCTTGCATCTTGGTGAAAGAATGGCATGAAGTAATGAAATTATCATGTATAAAAACACTTAGAAAAAATTCTAAGTTTTGAAAAGTTTGTCTTTTCACATTGAATTTTGACTTTCTTGACTTCTTGATGATAAATCTTGATATTTTTGAATGTCTTGATGAATTTTGATCTTTGAAACTCAAATTTGATCAAAAAGTCAAAGTTTGACTTTTCAGTGTTCAGATGACTTTTTCATCAGTTGACCAAATTTCATCTATCAATCCAATGATATTTAGAAATGTTTTAAGCCATGGAATTTGGTCAACGTGTTATATTTGAATCCATGATATTTTACTTTAAGCCATTAGATCATGTATTAGGTCAAAACAGTCAATGATCAATTGTTCTTAGTCAAAACCCCAATTTGTGGTCTCAGTGTTTCAGAGGTGATTTTTTCTGATCAATTCCTTGAGAATCCTTTAGCATTGGAGGTCCTTTGTGAAATGTCTTGAGAAACGATAGGAAATTTTTTGGGATACAACAACTTCCACTGTTCAATCTTCTTAAACCTGAAGAGGTAGATTGGCGAGTCTGCCATTCGTGACTTGAAGGTGGAAGATGATCGAACACTTAAGTGCCCAGAAATTTACACTCGCTTGTGCATGAGGTGAACTATTTGTTGATTACCAGGAATGGTCTTAGATATGCCATTTGGAGAAGTGATGAAGAGTTTTTTGGAGATGGGCTTACAGATGCCATCCGGAGTGACTGTCGAGGGAGAAGTATCAGAATAAATCTTTGGTCGATTTATACTGAAAATTGTAGATGTCTTTTGCCTGTTTTTAACTGGAAGAGATAAATCTAAACCAGAAGAGGTATTTTCTTGGTGACTTCACTGGAGAAATAACTCTAACCAGCAGAGGCCCGTTGATTGCCTATTATTAACCGGTAGAAGTAAATCCATCCAGAAGAGGACTTTTGTTTTGTTGACTGAATTTTTCCTGCAAGGAAAAGTGTTAATTGCATACATATGT